GGCTAGTTAAGGCCGAGAAACAGTACCGTTCGAAGCCGCACCTATACAGACGTATATGACTCCTGAAGGAGGTCTTTTGAGAACGGCGTTTGCTATCCTCGATCTGGTAATGTATCCACATCTCAAAAGCGGAGTTCACGTTAGGCGGAGATACGAAACGGTCATTGTTCACTCTTTTTGTAGTAATAACGCGTTTTGATTTGATCCCAGAATATCCAGATATTTCTTGATCTGACCCGCCTACAGTAAGTGACTGGATTTTGTGCATCGAGGCCAATCGACTAAGGGTTGTAGCTGAGGCATTGCGNTTTTGGTTAGAGGGCTATGGGTCGAGGCTAAAGGACTGTGGGTTTCGGCCAAAGCTTGATGTCTACTCACAGTGACAACCAAAATAGACATAAATAAATAGATAAATTCCTGTAATCAACCTAAGCTCAGGCACGTGATACATTCTATGCCGTGTCCGCTGAAACAAACCAACGCTTTTACGGGAATGAACATACCGATGGCTCAGACGGACACGTTTCATTAGTCAGCACCGAGAAAGAGGGAATCTCACATTATATTGCTAACTTTTGAATAGTAGTAGATAAAACACAAAGACACAAAGGCTGTAAAACTGAATGTGTCCTGTCGGCAGCACATACCAACTATCGAGTCTGTGGCTATTCAAATAGGGAACAAACTTTACCAAGTGTTTACAGTTGTTTGCTTGTATTCGAGGACAAGGTCGGGACCTGTTCGAAACAGATGGTTGTTTGGACTCGCGCTGTAAGTCCATTCATTACCTTAGAGAAACATAATAGTTCATCACACTCAATCACGGATTACATACATAAACCTTAAGCAAAACCTGAAAAACATGCACCGGATATATTTACTTGCGAGAAACGCAACCACCGTATCTAGTGATTTATCGGATGGTTGAAATGGACCGGCAGCTAAAGTGCGAAAATTTAAGGATAGAGGTGGGTGGGGGTGGAAGGATCGAAAAACGGAAATGGGGCGAGAACCACCTGATGTCCAGCACGGGTCGGACCACCAGCAATTTGGTAACCACGACGGTGCAGGATTGTTTATGTCCAAAATCCCAACAAATTTCTGTCTTTGGGTGCAAAGGATCATATCACAGGTACAGATAATCGTGTCCATAAAGCGATGCAGTTCATTAAGCAGTCTCCTAATTCGGGTTAAGTGTTTTACTTTTGTCTACGGGTTAAATATCACTCTGTAAGAATCACAGTTGTTTGTTTCCCCAAGGAGTTTATCACTCCTCACAGTCAATTTCGTCGGGAAACTCATCGGCTGTGTCTCATCGACTCGGGCGAAAACAGGACACCCCAAGAAACTACTACTGAAATCTCGACCGAGCGAGAGTGTGGATTTTGATCCGATCCACGGTGTGCGTAATGCCAAAAGCTGACCAAGGGGATGTCAATCAGGTCGAATTGTCTGACGGGCTTAGGTCTGTTCCGCACCAAGCACCTTTTGATGAGACCTAATGAACCAGTAGAACATCACAAGTTAGAAAATGTTAAGCACCAGACAGACAGACAATCTGTACGGATTGTTTTGATTCGCAAACTCCGTACGCCGCCTGATCATGTTCAACGTTCGTTGGGGTTCGTTGGTTGACTACCCAAAATTGGTGAGACAACAAATCTGTAGAAGAGTGTGTATGCATGCTCCGACTGGTGTTACCGGGTCATTTAACGAGTATCCAGTCCGTTAAACGCTCATTATCTTTTTTCTCTTACTTCTTATTCGTAGACATAAATCAACTATGTGGACCAATCCATCGCCTCATTGATTGCCATATATGTGAATAATCGATGAAAGTCTCAAGCAGTGTGGTGGTGACAATACTGATAGAACAGATCATCCAAGGCTGTATGTTCTGTTTGCGTCGCCCTCAACACACGTGCGTGGACCGTTGATAGTAATTGAAATTTTATACAAACAAATCTAGTACCGTTGAAAACATGATCACAAACTGTGCCTAATCTCGGTTTGTGCACCAAACACTCATAAAGTGATTACCTAACAGACCACTCCCTACCCGGTTTACTGGAACCAACTGGGTCTAGGAAGCACAAACTTTGATAAAATGACACACCAACTGAAATGATCCCCATGTTGAGTGAGACCGTGTCGCAGTAAGCTGTGCCGAAAACTTCACATGAGACCTGTTAAAAAACGTCTCTTTATTGCAGTTATCGACTGATCGCCAAATAGGATTGTCCAATACTGCTCATCTGCTGCAGGTTGCTGTGCGACATGAGGAGGAGGTAATAATGAACAATGCCGCGTGTATGTGTGTGTGAGAGAGAAGAAACCATGAACATGATTGCGTTCTATCTGCGAGTTCCATCAATTATCTACCACTATTTGTGTGGCCGAAAAATGAGAGACTGAGAGGCGGTGGTGACCAAGTGGTTAGGGTACCAAATTGTGACCCGGAATTTCCGGGTCAGAATCACTCCATCACCGCCACCGTCTTTCCTACTTCTGTATATCCCCTGAGGCAGCCTTTGTATGATCGCAGCCTACTTTATGAAAGTTGACTGTATGTTTGTATATTCAATACATTGAAAAGGAAGTATACAGAAACATTTCAATCCTGGAGTGATAGGTACTTAATCTCACCGATTTTTTATACCGTGAATCGTAAAAACATACATTTCTTCATATAGAGAAATAAAGAGATGAAAAAGAAGCGGAAGGGTTTGCTGCTGCATCTCAACAGGTGTTTGATGCAGAGGCTTGCCCGAGTTAATACGGAAAAAGTCAAGCACATTGTGCTATGAGGATAGCTGTACTGACACGAAACGCGTCGCCACAGGCAAACTGTAATCAATGTGCTTTCATTATGTAAATCATTTAAACACAGCGTTCCAGTCACCCGGAAACTCTATTATCCATAGATGGTGCGCTACCGGAGGTGATAGATAATGCTTGCTTGGTTCGAACGTCATCCGTGGTTGAAATCGGTTTGAATTGGGAACCGTGTCGCCATTGCGTGATCAACTCTCCGATCTGCTTACATGGATAGCAAGTAACTCGGCAATCACAATGCAATCGCCGTTGGTTCTCTCGACCGAAGAGTGCTTATTGAACGTCTTTCTGAGTGTAGTCTGACAGTGGTCTGAAGTCCTGAATGTACTAACCGACTAGTTCTCCCGTAGGACTCAGTTTACTTCACTGAATGGGGCACAGTCGTCTTCTATCAGCATTGAAGTCGGTGTTTTTCGGGGTGCGCTTTTATCCCCTTTGTTGTTTTCTATGTATCTACAGAATCTCCCTATTCCCAGTAATCTCACTGTGTTAAAAGCGGTCCCAGTTATCTTTTCTTAGTAAATGATTCCCCGATCTTAAAGGGAATAATCGAAGCATCCCAAAACCTGTATTTAATAAATAACTTAGTACAAATGAACCCCAGACGAAAATTCTACTCAGCAGCATCAGCAGTGTGTTTCCGGTTTGGTGAATCACCTGGCCCATTATCAAGCTTCTTCGGTTTTTTCGTTCCGTTAATTCCACATGTGAGAACCAGATAGCTGATACGAAAATCAAACGAACGGGTATGAGAATGTTTTCGGCGCGCTTACCACTTTGGCGAGGACTTCCGATGCTCCATTTTCGTCATCGATTTCGGTCGTCTCGGAGTGAAGCCACGTTGAAAAAAGTTCTGTTGGACGTGAATGGGTGTGTGTGTGTATGTATTTGTTTCGGGGGTTATACATGTGAGGGAAAACAAAGTAAACAGCGTATTGTACATTATACATGTAGATAGATACAGTACAATACAACACGATATAAAATATGCATCTTCTCGAGGAAATGCACATATCAACGGAATCAATCCTGGTTATGAATTGACACAATTACCCACTTCTTCTAATTCCTGTTATTGTTCTTATTATTATTACTATTATTGGTATTATTACTACAGCAATACGTGATTTGGGTTTCTGGGCGAATGACAAAGTTTATGGATATGGACAATCGATAATGGGGAGTCAACAATGAATGAAATCACCGCAAACAATGCTATCAATAATGTTTGATATGTTGAGAATCAAATACCGATCGGTTACAGGTAATAGATCATAACAAAGCGCCGTCGTTCATGCGCTACTAACGTGACCCTCGTCTGTGAAACAGCCAGTGAGTGCACGACCAAAGTCACTGTTCGTGCCTGCGGACTGACGGAAGCGGGAAAGGGCGTACTGGAGGTGTGAACGTTACAGCAGCAGCAGCAGAGACGACAACAACAATAACAGCAGTAAAAGGAATATTTATTATTCGACCGTCCGGGTATGTGCTACGATTGGTAAGATAATTCACATGGTACCAGAGTCAATCGATTGAATGAAAGAGATCCGTGTTAATCGATCAGTATTACATTCAAATTTGAGTGTAGATTGAATGTACGGTGAAGATTTCGGGAAACAGCCTCGTACGATATGGCAATATTGTATTGTATCCGGTCGAGCCGAGCCGAGATACACAAAAAAGTGAATAAATCAACAATTTCGTCTTATTGTGGCGCTCATCAACGGTGCCTATTGTCTTTTGTCGCCCGGTCGAAGATAACTTGGTATGCTTGAGAACGGTTACCTAAATTGTAGTCTGAAATGTCATTATTATCTTGTGAGCGAGCTCAACAACAACAATAACAGCAACAACAACAACAACAAAAAGCAAAAACAACAGCTCCCATGGACTATGACAGATACATGTCGGTAAACGGCTTGAGACCACAATGTGCATTGCTTTACGCGACTGCACGGCATGCTAGACCGGTCATAGCAGTTGGGATGACCGAATCAAACTTTTGTACCCACTTTTCTGACCGAGATTGGTTGAACAAAAGAGCATAGAGAGGTAAGAGAATCTCTGATGAGGAAGCGAATATGGTGGGTCATCCTTCCACAGTTCTCAAGGATGCGCTGTCTGGAAGGAAAACAGTGGGCAAACTGCAAAAGACGAAGTATACTGATTTTCTGGGGACGCATCGTGAATATTGCTTGCTTATGAATAATCGATCAAATGAATGCTGAAGCTCCTCTGATTGAGTTCCTCCAACACCGATACGAACTAGGAGGAATCACTTTTGGACTGGTTTTGTTGTACCGAGTTGTTGTACAACGCACGAGACTCATCATCATCAGCTAATGAACACATTTCATGTCATGCATTGAGTGAGAAGATCGTGAACGGAACCGCGGGACTCATTTTCATGTCGTCCTTTTCCGCATGCCTCAGACCGCGAAACTGTGAGTTGAGAGTAGACGCCCTCAACCTCGGCGCTACGCGGTGTTGTCAATCAACACTTGAGCAACTGATCATGACCAGAGGCTAAGTGCTGCGCTGTTCTCAGCTGGGACTCACTGAATTGTGTGTTCATCTATTCTGCATCAACATTTCTGAAACATTTTATTTCTGATCCATGAACTGAAAAGCTGTTTTGGATTCGTTCGATCGTGTCAGCAACGGGAATTCCTTTAAGCAACTATGGAAGTTCCGGGTTCGACTTCCAGTTGATTTGGTGAATTCACACGATTGATTCAGCACGGTTTTCTGTTCAAGCCTCCTTGGTAATTTATACGATAATGTTCACCGTAGAATTAAACCCAATCCGCCAATACTCCCATACGTAGACATACAAACAGACTGATACGGATTAATGTGTATGAGCTCTTTTTATTCAAATCCCAAGGGGAATCAAGAAGGGGGGGGGGACGGCGGGGGGAGGGAACGCAGCTGATTTGGTACCGATCACATCCATACTGATCAGCCGCGATTTTATTCTCATCCGTAATACGGAGCACGTATTCAAATCATGACCAAATGAGAATCAGATAGACAGACAAACGTTTCACTACCAATCAATTTTACCCCGTTTAAAGGAGGACGTTGCTTTCTTTATCTCCGGGTGATCTCATTTCCTGCTGGGATAACATCTTTTCTAATTACATACCCAGCCTAGTTTGATCCGCATCGGAGTGGAATGATGCGATACAGAGAGAGAGAGAGTGTGTGTGTGTGAGAAAGAGAAAAGAAACGTAATAATGTGGATGTGACAGAAAATTGAGTGAGAGCAGAACAGATAAGAGCTGCTGCTGTTGCTGCTGCTGCTGAGGGTGCAGATGATGCAGAATGAGATTGTGGTGACGGTGGTGGTGCGGGGGGGGGAGGGTGAAGATGAAACACAGCACTGGCAATGCCGGTTTGGGTTAACCTTGTTGCAAATTATTTTCTGAAGGAATTTATTTTGTTTTCTATAGTTCATTAACCAAAACAAATCTGGACATGGTGATGTACGTCAGAGAATGTCACGCTCGTCCGAGGTACCATTCTCAGTTTGATAGGTGAGCTTTTATTTGATTACAGTTGCTAAGTCTAATTTCAGCATTTCTTGTTATGCGAATAGAGTGCAATTTTTGTTTGAGTTTGACTAGGGAATTGACCGAAGGTATGTGAATAGTATCACAAGAATGGAATTCGAATATAGGAAGATCTGGAGTATTACTGGACAAGAATGCGGCGGCCTGTACGAGTCAAATGCCATTGCAGAATTGTCGGTTGCGAAACCGAGGGTAGATAGTAATCGCAAAACTCAAGGTTCTTAGACAACTAAATCACTACTGGCGGTTACATTTCGAATGAACTATTCGAATTTGTTTCACTCTGTACACCAGCAATTCGCCTGATTTGGTACATTTGATGAAAGGATCCAAAAAAGTCGATACGATATGTTGCGTTCGTGTAAATGATTGAGACTAAAGAATCCGGTTAACCACTTTCTCGGACAACATTTCTCGTGTTTATGTGGTCTGTCTGTGGATCGTAACCCCGCTCTAGTTCGAACTGTGTCACTACAACCACCCGCTTTCGATAGTGGCACACAACTTCCAAGTTGTTCGGCTCCATCTTAAAACCTATCTCCTTGGGTCTCAGGTTGCCGGTTCCCACAACCAAACAGTAGGTCATCATAATTACACGGTTCGTCGCTTCTATCAGAACAAGCAAAGAAAACCGGTAGATTTTGAAAGTAATTAATTGTTCGTCTAACACTGACTCCTTGGGTAGCCCACCAAGAAAGTCTCGCGTAGAGAACGAATATATCGATTTGGATAACTTTGCTACATAGCAGGTTTATCGCCCTGGCCTCTACACAACAAATCGAATGACAGAGTGATCATGAACAATCTCATTCACTGGTCAAGGTCTATTCAATATTTAGTGATTTCATCTGATCTTCATATTGGTGCATTAAATTTTTACTGCAAACCTAAGAATATCTTAGATTTTGCCGATCTCCAATTCTCTCAAATGTATACCATAAAAACCCGATAAATAAACTCACCGAGTTTTTTTCAAAATTATTATTATGCATTTTCCTGTGTTGACTGGAGCGGAGCCCCTTGAATTGCCGCACCAAACTGACCCGGTCTCGGTCACGTTTGGAATTCACCACATCATACTATATTTTGCACCAAACAGCCCAATCTACTCTTAATTCGACCCCAAGCAAAATCACAAAGTGCCTATAAATCTTTCGCACTGGTGCATAACTGGTTCCCGCCTCACTCGCTCTTTGAACTGTTTATTCGTGGTTTTTTCAGTCTCTTTCCTCGTCCTGATTCCCGTGTGTGCCCCGTTCTAACTTGAACAATAAATGCCAATTATAATTGCTCGTGTCCAACAAAAGGATAAGCTCATTCTGATTAAACTTGTTGTGGAGACAGAAGGAGAGTGCATATAGGTCCCAGCAGTCTGGCACTTGCCCTGGTTTTATGGAAGCTTATTAAATGGATCAGGCGCAATGATTTTTGAAAGAATTCCCGAAGATTAGAAACAGTTAGCTCTGGTGGTAGTATTAAGTTTTTATGTGAAAAGAAATAAATAAAGCAAGACAGTTGGAATTAGAATCTCAGTGTTGACACGCTCTGTACCGTAACTCCCCTGGCCAATTTGTCACGTAAATCATCACGTAATGTGAAGCCGCTCTCGACGTCCGATGTGACAAAAAACAAACTAGTAATTAATTTTGGTTCTTCTCCTGTTACAGTTTCGAATTGTTTACCAACGAAAATTTTAAGAGTTTCCGGTGCTTCCCTGATAGGGAAAATCATCACGATTGTGATGGGATTTATGCATAAACCATGTTTTAACATTAAAATACAAATCCGAAAGCCTACGGACATCTGCATATGTATATAAGCATTGACTCTGATCCACTACAGTTAACCTACTGTCCATACGGATGCGATTTGTATGCAGTCTCCAACAATATTCATTTTATAACTGAGTCTTTCAGTGTTACTGACGAATTGTGACTATTTCTTGTCACTCGACTCGATTCCCCGATGGATCTTTTAAGAAAAATCGAAATTTCTGAACACTGAAAAAACTAAACGGTTTGGCTAACAAACGATTTCACTGTAACAACATGTATAGCTAGACCGGGAAAGTAATCCCATCAAAAAATTAGGTTTTGCGACTACAAAAGATTTAGTGGGAGTGGGTGTCCAGGGTTGCGGCTGGTCACCCTCCCTTGCACCTCGCAATCGCTGTCAAACTCACAATGCATATGCCTGGGGTTTGATGGACAGGTACTGACAGGGTGTCCAGTCACTAAGCAGGAGAACAATTAGGGTTCTCAACAAAAGCCTTTAGTTCTGACTGGAACTTAGCCACAAGGCAGCGGGTGAAGCGAAGTGGAGGCCCACTTACTTGGATCAATTACTCCTCCAACACATTTTATCGACTTAGACGGCAAATCAAGTCGAACCCCCAAATTGGAGGACCAAGAGACTGGACTTCGTCCAACCTCTACCCTTCTACTTTCCAGGCATGATTAGATCTTCGGCTTGACAAAAGCCGTCCTGTGTAGCTCCTGGGGTCACAAAGGTGCGCAGGCCATCACANGGTGCAGTCTCATCGTGGGGTGGAGGTGTTTTCCCACTAAAGTGAGAGGACGAAAAGCCGACATCCGGGGATATAACCGGGTTGGTGGACCACTGGTTGTTCACCTAGGGAAGTTGGTCAAAAACCGTGATTCCAAACCAACCAAGAGGCGTACAAACCGCACACACACACACACA